AGGAAGCTCAAATCAGCTAGTGGGGACTTAAGTCACTTGGCCCATGGCCTACCTGAGCTGTTATGAGTTCTACAGAGGTTCTGACGGGTTTCAATTGGAGTGACAGCAGGGGGGGAAGGGATGCCGACCTCACCAAACATGGTGTTTAGTGAGCAGTGCGGCGTGAGGCCCTAAATCTGTTCGTGAAGGCCCTAAAAAATATGAAATTGTTCATAAAGTGCTAACCTACATGATTAACTGACTTTCTTCGTTCATGATTCACACGAGCACACCATTAACTGATTTTCTTCATTCACGATTCACACATTGTCAAGCACACCTGGTCCAGCTAGTACACAAATTTAATGCAGGAATCGTATTCACACCAGCACCCCAGCTTTGGTACACAAATGCAAAGGTCCAAGTCGCCAAATCGCCGAAGACAGCGTCCAACAGTAGAAAAAATGCTTGTGACGAACCACTTTCTGTAACGTGCGATTTTCTGCGCGGTTGCAACGAGGGGTCCTAAGCTGGGAAGATTGGGCCAACTACGGGAGATCGGGATCGGTGGAGAATTGCATCAGTGTCCTCGCTTTTTTGTCCTTTTTGTCACTTTTTTTTTTTTTCGAATGGCTGGGCACGGAGCTGGGTGTGTCTTGGGACGGCCGGTTGATTGGTTGGTCGGATGGATGTCTGGCGCATCGCCGCGCGCGCGGACGATTAATAAATGTTGACGTCGCTTCTTTTGGTTCGGTTTCGGTCTTTTGGGCGTGGACAACGCGCGGGAAATTGCTTCGTTCTTTTTGAATTTCCCTTTGAATCTCTTTCGAATTTTGACAAGCCCCCCCCCCTGATGGCTCTCGGAATTTTGGACTTTCCTTCTGGAATTTGTGCTTTTTGCTTTTTCGCAATAGATAGGACTTTAAGAATTCAGTAATTAGGATTTTTCCTGCCGCGTGGCGCCTTTTGTTTACGCGCTTCTTCATGCGGCTGCAACGGCACTCTGATTAGTGGGCGCCCTTAATCGTATGTGTAACTGTAACTTTGGGCGGGCGCCATTGTAACTGTATCTTTCTTCTTGCACTTCCTCTCTCCCGCCCTCCCTCTCTTTCTTTTGCTGAAATTTTGTGAGCCGCAGCTTGCATGCGCGGATCGATGCGTGGAGAAGGGTTGCGTCCCCCACGCCGCGGCCGATCATGCAGAACACAGGCGCTCCCTCCCTAATCCTCACTCTAAGTCCTAAAAATTCCGTGTTCTTCGCGCATGCATGCACGCTATAAATTTCGGTTGTGCGATTAGTCGGCTCTCTGAACCCGTTGTTGAAAGCTCGGGGTTGCGCGATCAGGAAGGGTCGGCACACGAGCGAAGTAAGAGGTGAGAAGAGTACGAGTTGGGCGATCCGACGGGCTGGTGCCGAACGTGCGGGATTGACGTGGGCCACGACGGACTGTGGGTACGGGCGAATCCGACGGGTGCGGGACGACTAAGCGGGGTGACAACTTCGTGGTGCGTGACGACGGACTGTCCGCATCGGGGAGAGAGAGAGAAGGAGAGAGTTGAGGTCGATGGACGCGAATTTGCTGTTTCTTTGTCTCTTCCCCCTCTTCATCTGTGTATATACATTTTGATTGCGGCTCCGGGCGGTTTGGCCGTTCTTATTTTCGCTTCGGCTTTCTGAAATCTCGGCTTGGATTTTTGCTCACACTTGTCTTTGCTACGTCCGTCCCGATTGTGTTATGTGTATGATTATCGAATGTATGGACGTATGGATGTGTGGACGTTATGCCTGCTTGTCTATCTTTTTGCTGAAAGTCCTT